TGAGGGAAGACGTGACATCTGGATGGAGATTAGGGAGAGATAAGCCGTAGAAATAAAATAAGCGCGGTCCCGGCTGACGCTTCTATTAGGAGGCCGCCTTCCTCCCCCGGCTGACGCTCACATCTCCATCAACCTCACAGGGAAGCGGCCTCGGGGGAAACGTGAAGCACACCACCGGCGACTGCAAATCCTCCCGGAGACACCACAACCCGCGGACATGTCGCTGTACACCGCGGCGCCGGAGACGACGATTCCGGTTACATTGTCCTAAATTGTATAAGTCTCGTATATAGGTTTATAAAGAGCGTCAATGTGACCCGGGAAGCGCTTTGCTGGGCCGGAGAGACCCCCCAAAACCTGCGATGGCCGGACAACTGACCAAATGGATTTCCCATCGATCACCGGAGACGACCGATATCAGAACATTGAAATCAGAAGAAATTTCTGCCAAATTCTGTAAAAATTTGCCCCAATTTTTTCATACACTGAACTCAATGGGGAATGTAACATTTGAGGAGGGGGAGGGGGGGTTAGGGGTACAATTGGCTTTAAGTTGCTACTGAGGGTTAGGTAAGCTCCCATAAATATGGCGGACCTGTCCCGGGACCAGGAAAACCTCCCGGTGACCTGAATGGTAACATCAAAACTAACCCTAGCACTCCCCCTCACCCCAACACTAATCCAAACTCTTACCATAATGATATCTGCAACATTAACCCTAAAGCTATCCTTAACCCCAACATTACCTTGAATACCCCCAACGCTATCCTATACCTAACATCGACCCTAAGACCCTAAGGCTATCCCTAACCCTAACATTAACCTTAACACTATTCCTAACCAAAAGGTCAACCCTAAAGCTATCCCAAACCCTAACACAAATATTAACCCTAACCCTAATCCTATCATCAACACTAATGCTATCCCTATTCCCATTAATATCACCTCAATGCTATCCTTAACCCCCAACATTAACCCTAACACTATCCTATACCTAACATCGACCCTAAGGCTATCCCTCACCCCAACATTAACCCAAGCATTCATCCAAACTCTTAACATAATGGTATCTGCCTCATTATCCCTAACCCTTACCTTAACCCCATTGCAATGTTTAACCACAACAATAACCTGAATACACCCCAACATCAACCCTAACACTATCTCTAACCCTAAGATTAATCCTAACATTGACCCAAACATCAACCCTAACCCCGACACTATTCCTAACCCGAACCCCAACCCTAAAGCTATCCCAAACTCTAACATTAACCCGAACCCTATTCCTATCCCTAACATCAACCCTAGGGCTATCTCTAACCTTAACATTAACCCTAACACTATCCCTAACCCGTACCTCAACTGTAAAGCTAGCCTTAACCCAAACATTAACGTGAATATTAACCCTTACACTAATGGTATTCCTAATCCTAACACTATTCCTGACCGTTACCTCAACCCTAAATATATCCCTAACCCTAAGATTAACCCGAACATTAATCCTAACCCTAATGCCATTCCTAAACCTAACATTAATCCTAAAGCAATTTCTAACTCTTACCCTAACCTCAACCCTAAAGCTATCCTAAACCCTAATATTAACGTGAACATAAACCCCAACCCTATTCCTCTCCTTAATATTAACCCTGAGGCTATCTCTAACCCTAACGTTACCCCTAACATTAACCCTAACACTATTCCTAACCCACACATCCACCCTAAAGCTATCCATAACCCTAACATTAACACAAAAATGAACCCTAACCCTAAAGCTATTCCTAACATCAACACTAATGCTATCCCTATTCCCAATATTCACCCTATTGCTATTCATAGACCTAACACTAACCCTAATGCTATCCCTAACCCTAATATTAACCCTAACCCTAAGGTTAATCCTATGGCATTAACCCTAACACTATTCCTAACACTAGCCCTATAAGTAGCCAAAGGAGTCAGATAAACCCCTGCCCACATACAGCTAAAATAAGCCGGGACTGCTGGCTATCGGCACCTTCCCACCTTTGTGTTTTTGTCTGCACACACATGCTTTCTGACACTACGCCGAGCGCGTGTGCTGTATGGAAATGTTTGCTGAACAGCT